ATGCTACGGTCTGATTTCTTGAACCCCAAAACCCCAAAACCCCATGATTCTAAATTGCTAAAAATTATTGATAATTCAAACTGAAAAGAATTATTAAATTTATAAATTTGCAATAAAATGAGTGGAACAGGAGTAAGATATTTAAACTATTTCAGATCAACAAATTCTAAACTCTCTTCCATAGTTTGACTACGAGTGTTCATCACTATCACCAGAGGGAAGAATTTTCTAAGTTGAATATGCTGAGAAAGCTGTAGAGACCTCAAGGTAAGTTAGAAATACTAATAAGCCTTCGATGAAATGAATTTAATCTCCCTCTAAAAAGTTGGTTAACCATAATTATAGCACTATTCTCGGAGTAAGATGCAAAAACGGAATTGTTTTGGGCACTGAGAAGATTGTACTCAGTAAGATGATGGTAGCAGGTACTGATAAGAGAGTATTCTCAATCACAACAACCACTGGCAGTGTAAATAACTCATTTTGATATATTTCAATCAATTCTAATCAACATTATGATAGGTTGTCAATGGATTAACTCCAGATGGAAAGTCTCTAGTTTACAGAGGCAGAGAAGAAGCTGTCCAATACGAGAAGATGTTCGGTATTAAGATTCCCATTCAAGTTCTTGCCGAGAGACTCGCAATGAGAACTTAAATGAACACAATTTATAATGGAATCAGACCATATGGAACTTCAATCATCCTTGCTGGTAATGATCATATTAAGGGTCTTGGACTTTACATGATTGAGCCATCAGGATAATGCTTTGAATACTACGGATGTGCTAGTGGCAGAGGTAAACAACTTGCCAGAAATGAAATTGAGAAAGTTAATTTCAGAGAAATGTCCGTAGATGAGGCCATTCCATTGATTGCTAAAATTCTCTTGAAGGCACAAGAAGAAATGAAGGATAAAAAGCAAGAACTTGAAATTAGCATTATTAGTGATACCACTGGTTACAAGCACAAGATCCTTGACAGAGTATTCGTAGACCAATTAACTCTAAAGGCTCAAGAAGAAATAGAAAATGAGCAAATGGAAATGGCATGATGTGAGAAATATAATCAAAAGTATATTGTTTTGCTTATTTTAAATATATACAAACATCCTTTCCCATTGAATTTTACACATTAGGGGTTTTGGGGTTTTGGGGGAATAAAGGATTTGGGCAAGAAGAAG